GAGGATATTGAAACAAAGAAGCCTTCTTCTCCCCCACAGAGTAACATTAAATAGTCACCTGCCCAAAAAGAATTCATAGAAGAACTTAAAAAAGACTTTAAGAATCAAATGAGAGAGATTGAGGGAAAAAAAAAAAACCACAATCTGAGAACTACAAGAAAAATTATGGGGAAAAGCCAACCAATTAGAAAAGGAAATCCAGAATCTTAAGAAAGAAAATGACACCTTGAACATTAAAATTGGGCAAGGGGAAGCCAGTAAAGTTACAAGAGATCAATAAATAATAAAACAAAATATAAAAAATGAAAAAATAGAAGAGAAAGGGAAACATAAGAAAAACAACTCATCTGGAGAATGAATCAAGAAGAGAAAATATAAAAATAATCAGATCACCTGAAAGCTATGATCAAAAGAATCTCAATATAACACAAGAAATAATTACAGAAAATCATCCTGAAACATTAGAACAAGAGGGGAAAGTAGAGAGACAAAAAAAAAATCCATCAATCATCACCTGAAAAAGATGCTATGATTCTGAAACCTCCAGCTCAAGGATAAAATATTAAGAGTAACAAGAAAAAAAATTCAAATATGGCAGCACCACAATTAGAATCATGTAAGACCCAGCAGTGGCAACACTAAAGGACCACAGGTCTTAGAATACTACATATCAAAGAGCAAAAGAACTGGGGTTCTGGCTAAAAATATTATACCCAGTAAAGTTAAGTATAATCCTGAATGAAAAAAATGGACATTTAATCAACTGTCAGGCTTTCAGGACTTTATTTAAAAAAAAAACCTGAACTTAATAGAATATTTGACATACAAGAGCCAAGAGAAATATAAAGTACATACAAAAGACTAATTGCCAGAGATTCAATAAGGACAGACTGTTCACCTTTTATGTATGTAAAATGTAAAATGTATGTCTAAGATTGTTACTAGTAATTGGGTAGTTAGTAAGAAAGATTGGGGTAGATATGAGTATGATATGACTTTAAAAAGTAAAACCATTTAGGAACAGCTAAAAAGAGTATTTCTCTTATACAAATGAGGTGCAAGAGGGAGAACTGACACAGAAGAATTAGTTGAGGGAGGAGGGCTGTTAATTCTGGAAACCTACTTTCATCAGGAATGGGTTCAAGAGGGAAAAATATATATACATCTAAAAGAGTATAGAAGTCTTCTAAATTCAGAAAGAAATAAAACATTAAGGGGAAAGGGAGGGGGGAGAGGATAAGGGAGGGATCTCTAGAGGGGAGGATGACGGCATAAGTTAAAGGGGGGGTATAGAAGGGTGTTTAGTTCATGGGAATGGGAGAAAGGAGAGATCCTTGGAGGGGGAAGTAGGTGGGTAGAAGTAAAGTAGAGGAGTGAGGAGGGATAGGAAATAAGAGATATGCACAAATATAAAATGAAGATCAGGAGTAGAATTTGTTAGAGAAAGTATATGTCTATATATGTATGTATGTATACATGTATGTATGTGTATATATGTATATGTATATGTATGTATCTATATCTATATATAAACATACCCTCACGGGGTGGGAAGAGGAGGGGAAAAAAGAACAAAGTAAAAAGTGAGCAGCATAGAGCAAAAGAAAACTCACGAGGAAGCAAAGATGGACAGCTCTCAACACAACATGTAGTATTTATTACACAAGCTTTCTTGAAATGGAAATTTATTGCTATATATTTTGAATCCTCTCGTGTTCTGCTGTGCACATGACATGCTTTCCTTTTCTTACTTTGTATTTAAGTTTCAATATTTAAGTTTCTGATATGTTTCTTTTCCTTTTTTCTATTGTGTGTTTGAGTTTTGGTGTTTGAGTCAAAAACAACAATAAAAAAAGAAAATTATATTACAAAGTAGACCACTTCTTCATGTTATTCACTGACATAGAGAACATAAGATTCTCTTATGATTATTTCTTGTTGATGCAGGTCCTAGGGTGGGAGAAGAGGGCAGATAGCAATTATGCATTGCTCTGTCCTCAGTCTCAGTCTGAGTGATAGTAACTTCTAAGTCCTTCCAGTCTTAGATAGGGCAAGTACTGAGTTGAGCAATCGTGCCCACCCCGTTGATCATAGGCCCAAAAGGCATGAGTATGGGGACAGGTACTGAGCTGGGTGGTTGCCTCTGCCACCTTTCCTACTTAGCCATGGCTCAGAACAAAGAACTTCGTTGTATGGGAGCTAATGACTGCCTACATTCCCCCTTGTACTGGCTAAGAGTGGGCCAGGAGACAGATGTCATCTCACTACTCACTCAGCCTTGGCTCAAAGTGGGCCAGTAAGGATGCTGACAGTATAGTTCTTTTTTGTGTTTTTAAATTAGTATTAACCTACTGTAGGTTCTTTTAATTTATCCATTTTACTTTCTAATTTTTTTTGTCTCATGGAGCTTAATTTCTTATTGTTCTTGAGGTAGTTTTACAATAGGGATTCTTTAGCCTGGGGTCCATAGATACATTTCAGGGAGTCCATGAACTTGAATAGGAACAAATTAGATTTTTATTTTTACTAACTAATCTTGTTTTTACTAATTGAAATTCAGCACTTTCTTCAATTATTTGAAAATATTCTTAAAAGGGGTTTCATTAGAGTGTCAAAGTGATCCAAGATTAAAAAAAAAAAAGAACCTGGATTTAGCTGGAACTTGACATTTTTTTCTCTCATTTATTCTTAAAGGACTAGAATCCTGCTCATCCTTAAAAGCTCTGATTGGGGTGTAATAGATAAAGCCTAAATGCTTTCATACTGCCAAAGGTCAGAGGGAAATTTATCACCTTAGTTGTTTTATTCATTAAATAATATGAATAAGTAAATTATTTCTATGAGCCTATTTAAGATCTCCATCTATTCTGAAAATGAACACAAAGCTTTTCCATAATGTTTAAGAATATATTCAATTGTATTGACTATACCTTTTAAAAAGAAGTGATGAGGAGAAGAGAGGAAGAAAGAGGAGAGGAGAGGAGAAAAAAGGAGAGGAGAGGAGAAATGGCATAAGCTCCCAGAAAATAGGGAAGGTATTGGATCATAGGTACAAATAAAGGATTTTGCTTTGGCAAGGAATAAAGTTATTCATGAGTGTTGTTGTAAGGATGAATCAGTGAAAGAGCCTTAGCTTCCTGGGAGTCAGGAGACCCCTGAACAAGCCATTGCTTTTCTCTATTCCTCAGTTTCTTCCTCTATAAATTAAAGAAGTTGAACTAGATAATCTCAAAGATTTCTTCCAACTCTAACATTTTGTGATTTTTCTGTGTCTATGATGCCTAGGTAAAGCTGAAAATATGAGTTTCTTTTTATTTTTTTTTAAAGTTAAGCCCAGTAGTTAAACAGATATGGTTTAAAAAAATCCTTCAGGGTCTGTTTAATGTGTAGTAGGGTAATAATAATAATAATAATAAATGGCATTTATGTGGCCTTCACATGTGCAAAGCACTTTACATACATCATCTCACTTTACCCTCAAAACAACTCTGTGAGGTAGGTTCTGCAGATATTATTATCATGCCCATTTTATAACTGAGTCTCAGGTTAAGTGGTCTGCTGATGGTCACAGATCTAGGAAATGTGAAAGCTGGGATTTGAACCCAGGGCTTCTTGGTTCTAACCCTAGTAATCTACCCACTATATCATTCTGTGGACCTTAAGGGTATACCTCAGGTAAGAAAATTGGGAGTTTCCTAAATGATACATAGATGTCCGTTTCTGTCATCTAGATGAACAAAGTAAAATGTACTTATTCTAGTTGATTTCTAAAGGAGATCTAGGACTAGCTTCAAGCTTCTAACCCCATATGAATTCAAACTAATTCAATTCAATCCGAGAAGTATGTATATGTATATATACATGTGTGTGTGTATGTGTGTGTGTGTGTGTGTAGCGCCTGCTATATGCCAAGCACTTCCCAAAGTGCTGGTGATACAAAGACTAAAATAAAACATTCCCCGTCCTCAAAGAATTTACATTCTTTTGTTGTGTGAGCATGTGCTTGATGTATAACATGTGTTACTATATATACATTATTGTGAATTTTCAATACCATCATGTTAATTTTTAAAGGAAAATTAATATCTTCAATTATGTACCAACCCTTTGTGTGTGAATATATTCAAATATGTGTGTACATATACATACATACATACATGTCTGTATATATACACATATACACACACACACACACACTGGAAAGGTAATATGCGATGTAGCTGAAAGGGCACTAGAGGAAGTCAAGAGGTCTGATTCTAGTCATGTCTCTATCACTAACTAGAGACTTTGAGTAAATCATTTTCCTTCTCTTGATTTCGATTTTGCCATGTGTAAAATGAGGTAGTTGGACTACATGACCTTTAAGCTCCTTTCCAGCATAACATTCTACAACTGTATAGTCACTAACTTGCAGGACCCTGATTAACTGACCCACATTTTGAAGACTTTATTGAGATTATCAAAATATCCTTTCCAGTGTTGATAGTGCTTATTTTTAGTTCTTGCTTCTTAATCCTAGCATGAGGACTGGGCCGGAGATTTCCAAAGTGTTCTTGGATATGGGTCATAATTTATTTGTAGGTAGTTTGTGTAGATTTTCTGGAAAGGTCAGTGGGATTGGGGCGAAGGGCGGAAACTTTAAAATATATATATATATTTAATCATTAAATTATATTGTGCTGTCTTTCTTACTTCAACACCCCCCATATACACACCCCTGGCACCACCAAGCTCATCACTTGGATTTGGGGCACTAAGGCAAGGAATAGTTTGAAACTTCAGGGATGACATTGTTCTCTCGATCCACAGCTGGTGTGTGGGGCGGGGGAAGCAAAATTCAGGGCTTCGCTCACAAGTTATTTTCAGCAAGCTGATAGCAGTTGGGTTACTCATCGCTTGTTCATCCCCTCACTCCTGTGCTTTCCCTCCCCACTCACCCCTCCCCACCATGGGGGGCCAAGGCTGGTGATTGAGTGCCTTGAGTATTTAAAGAGGACCCTGGGATTCTCTGCCTTACTTGAACACACATAGACCACCCAGGGAGGTAAGTGGATACACAGAGGAATTTACATTCTTCTGTAATGAATGAGGAGGGTGGGTGTGTGGTGAAAAGTTTTGGCTATTGGAATGTGATTAGGTGTTCAACAGGGGGTACATAGAAATGGTTCTGCTCCTGAAATATGGGGCTGTTTCAGGCCACAAGTTCCAAAACAGCTAAGTCTTGGAGTAGGGGGTGGGGTGGTTAGATGTCCTTAAATGGGATAGAAGCCTTGGCAAGCTTCAGTGGGACTCCCCAAAAGACCCCTTAGAAACCTATTTGTCTTTGGGCTCCAAGGCAGCTGATGGTGAGATGGATGAGTCGGGGAGGGTCTCTGATATGTGTCTGCTGCTTGTTTTCATAGTGGAATGAATTCTTATTCCCTCACCACCCCTTCATAGAGTGAAATGTCACAAATGGGGGATAGGCTAACACTGGGCTAGATTACCAAGAGAAGTCATGAAGCTTAGCCCTGCTGCTTACTAACTGCTGACCTTGAGTGGGTCTAGTCCCTTTACTTTCAACCTCGGTTTGTCAGTTTTCTCATCTGTAAAATTTACACAAGCCTTGCCCTAACTCTCAATGGTGGAGTATCAAAGGGGATTCTAGTACAGAGATGTAATAAGGTACATGCAGATAGCCCAGGATGTGGGATTCAAACCTGCTTCTCTTGCAACTTTGGGTAAGTCAATGCACCTCATTGGGCCTCAATTTCCTTCACTGTTAAACGGACTAGAAGATCTCTAAAGCCCTTTCCAGGTTTCTATCCTATGATCTGGGCTAATCTTATCCTGTGAAAAAAGCAAGTTCTAGACGAGATTAGGAAATGACAGAAGCAATAGAAGCCAGTCTTCGTAAAGCATGCTCATAAAAGCCTCAGACACCCCAAAGAACACTGGGGGTGTGGTGGAGGATGGGTTTGCCTGAACTAGGCACAGCATTGCATACATGCAGATTTCCAGGAGATTGTCAACAATGAACTGACCTTTCAAATTAAAAAGAGCAAACAAAATAGGGATAGCATTCAAAAACCTTTGCTCTTTTGAAAAGTAAGGGTGGTGTTGGATCAGAAAGGGCTTTTGAGATTGTCTGCTCCAACCTCTTCACTTCACAGAGGAGGACTATAAGGACCAGAAAGATACAATCACCTTTCACAGAGTCATAAGGAGCTGGGAGCCAAATGAAAAGCTTTATTTAGGGGTTAATTTGAAGCCAGGGGTCAGTTGGCAGATTCTCATCATGGTTTAAGTTAAAAATCATCCAGAAAAACAACTCCATCTAAATTCTAAGGTTGCTAGCTGTGTGACCTGGGCAAGTAACTTAACATCTCTGATCCTCCATTTGCTTATCTTTAAAACAGGGTTAATAAATGGTGCTTGTGTTACCTACCATGAAGGATTATTATAATGGAAGTGCCCTGAGAGTCTTAAAGCACTATATGAATGTCAGGCATCACATTTATGCAATTTATTACTGTTTATACAATGCTTTTCTTTAGGTCATTTTCATATGAAGAAATTCTCTAGACAGTAAGCGATTTATTTGCCCAAGACCTCACAGTTGGTCAGTGGCAGAGCCATAATTTGAACATGAGTCCAAGTTTCAATCCAGTGCTCTTTTGATAGCTATATTTCAATATAATATATTTCCCTTGTAATCCTTTTAAAAAACTTATGCATTTAAAAACATTATTCTAAGAAGAAGGGATCTATAGGTCTCACCAGATGGTTCATGGATATGTAGGGAAAGGGAATAAGCATTTATAAAGCACCTACTATGAGTCATGCACTGTGCTAAGCATTTAACAAATATTTCATTTGATCCTCACAACATTCTTGTGAGGTAGGTGCTTCTGTTATCTCCATTTTATAGTTGATGAAACTGAGGCAAACAGAGCTCAAGTGACTTACCCAAAGACACATAACTATTTGTGTTTGGGACTGGAACTGACCTAAGTTCTTCCTCACTCCAGGCCCAGCCCTGTATCAACTGTGCCACCCAGCTGCCTCTTTTGGCTTTTAGTAGAAACAAAAAAGACAAGAGAGAGAGAGAGAGAGAGAGAGAGAGAGACAGAGACAGAGACAGAGACAGAGACAGAGAGAGAGAGTCTCAAGAAGGGAAGAAAATTAGGAATCAGTAGCTGTGGGATTTTCATCTCACTTTTGACATTTACTAGCTACCCATCAGTCACATGACCCATTGGTAGAGATGGTTTGGAGAATCATTCTCTTGACCCCCAGTTCACTGAACATCAATGACCTCATCTGTAAAATGTGGATAATATTTGCTCTGGTTTATGTGACAGCTCTCAATTTATCTGATAATCTGAGAGAGAAGCCATCAGAATAGTTTAGTGGATTGAGTGTTTAGCTTAGAGTCAAGAAGCCTTAGAATCAATTCTCACCTTCGTAACTTTTTAGGTGATTGACCTTGGGTAAGCTATCTAATTCAGTTATGCTCAAGTAAATCCTTGGGACTTATCTATGGAGTAAGGAGTAAATCTGGGTATGAGAAGGCATGACAAACCGGAAGATATGGGATAATTTTCCCAAACATTAAATATTACTGAACAGGGAAGCTCAGTTTCACTAATAATATTGCTGGAACTTAGAAGTTTTTTTATGAAAGAGGAGAAATTTATTTCCAGTCAACCAATCAACAAAGCTTTATTAAGGACCATCCATGTGCTAGGTATTGAGGCTACACAGACAAAAACAGATAGATAGATTTGAGTCTTTGCCGTCAAAGAGTGTGAGTGTTCCTCAGCAAAAAAACATGTTCCTAGATAAGTACACTTGATGCACACATATCTATTTGGACTGGTCCTATGATTTCATCAATTTAAGGAACCTTTGTGAGAAAACACTCTACCAGTGCATATCAACACCTTCTATGCAGCTTAAGAGTTTTAAAGAGTTGTCTGATGTACTGAGAAGTCAAATGACTGTCCTAGGGTCACAGCCAGTTGTGTAAACAATAGAACTTGAACTGAGGTCTTCTTGACCTTAAGGCCGGTCCTATATACATTATTTAACATTGCTTTATTTATATATAAAGATATATTTTGTCATTATTTTTCAATTGTGTCCAATTTCATGACCCCATTTGGGGTTTTTTTTGGCAAAGATACTGGCATAGTTTGTTATTTCTTTTTCCAGTTCATTTTACAGATGAGAAAACTGAGGCAAACTGGATTAAGAGACTTGTCCATGGTCACATAGCTAGTAAATATCTGAGGCTGGATTTGAACTCAGGAATGTGAGCCTTCCTGATTCCAAGTCTGGTGCTCTATCCACTGCACCACCTACATATAAATACAAGGTAATTTAGTAGGTGCTGCATAACAGCTTCCTTTGTCCAACCCATGGAAGACTTGACAGGGAGGGGGACAAGTCTACAACTGCTTGATTCTCTGTCTTCTGTGGGGATGATGTCAGCCCCATAGCAATCGGGATATATGTATGTAACATGGGACCAGTTCTGATGTCGTGAACTAGAACAGCCAGATTTAGCAGGAGAGCAACATTTGTTTGTGCTTAGAGAACAGATCTGAAGCTTCAAGATAAAAGTGAGTGTTAGCAGTGTGACATTTCTATGAGGCTCTGGTCCTTATTCATCCTTCTAGTCTGTAAATTTATAGTTTGGGAAATTTCATTAGTGGGAATGCCTTCTATTCCATAGCCTCAGTAACTTGCGGACTTCCATTTAGAAAGGCCTTTAGACACTGTCTAGTCTGACACCCTCATTTTTCAAACATAGACCCAGACCTAGAGAAGAAAAGTGACTTGGCCAGTGTCACACAGCAAGTTAGTTATAGAAATGGGGATTAGAGCTCAGTTCCTTGACTTTGCAGTCAAAGGATGATCACATTTTTTTTTCAGTTGGAAAGTACTTAGAAATCTTCTAAACCTCCTAATTCTATAAATGAGGAAATCAAGGCTCAGAGAGAGAAATGGCTTGTTCAAGGTGACACAGGTGGTGAAGAATAGGACTGGGATTTAGTTTCTACTCCTCTGAAATCTGAATCAGTATTCAAACTCAGTCCTCTGACTCACAATCTAACCATTTTTTCCATTACGTTATAACACCTCTCCCTCTAATTCAGGGATCCACTTAAAAGTGAGTCTCCTGGACTCTTCTAATTGTTTGTTGGTTGGAAACATGGTGTTTCTTAAATCTGATACATGTCTTTGGGATTTTGGTATTTTTTGCTATGGCTTAAAATCTTCCCCTGAGTTCATGTACAAGAGATGACACAGGATGGAGGGTGACCAAGGAGAGAGTACGCATTGAACTACCATGGTCAACTCTGGCTACTATGCCAAAAACACCCTCTCTAAATCTGCTAAACCTGTTACTTAAATGATTGTCTACTAAATCCTGACCCAGGAGAAATATAATCACTAACTTGCTATATTTAATTATTTTCAAGTGGAAGCCTCTGAATATTTTACTTCTTTTTTCTCTTTTTGGTTTTCTGAAACAGAGAATCTTAATATTTAAGATATAAATACTTTCTACTCATTTTCATTCTAATCCAAATTAATTCAATGTAGCATTATTCTAATGCTAATCGTCCCTGCTTATGACATTTCTTGATGGCAGTTTAACTATGGGTTAAGAAATTGGTCTTGTGAAAGGGTTTGATTTCATTTGGACTAGAATTGAGCGCTGATGCCAAAGAAAATCCACCTAGGAAGTGTGGAGACATTCTGTCCTCTCTCTATGTGGTATTAGATAGATCTCATTTTTTTCTTTCCAATTCTCATACTCCCCTGCTCAGATTCCTATTTTCATCTTGACCCAAGACCCCGTTGATAACAATGTGGACATCTCTAAAACCAACACAGAGTGGTCTGAGGGTGTAAGGGTGTTTGTGATAAGTGTGACAGATGGAACTCAACGACAAACTGACCTATATTTGGTGACCTGCGCTAGCCATGCCACACTGATAAACAAATAGTGTTTCCATCGGAACTTGGCCTGGAAACTCCAACGTTCAGAGCCCAGTTGGAGGAATGTTGAGATGCAGGAATTCAAAAGAAATGCAACAGGCTAAAGGTTCATGTGTGCACGCCAGGACCCCAAATGCCCTTCTAAATAAATCACAGCTGCTTAATTCACTCCTGAAATGACACTTACATGAGTCCTTTACATTAATATAGCGATTATATCTATCGAATTGCTTGGACATATTGTCCTTTTGGAGCCTTATAATAATTCTGGGTTAGGTAGGCAGGATTATTATTATTATGGCATTATTTGGAGGATGTACATATGAGGGAAAGGGTCCAAATTGATTAAAAGGCTTGCCTAAGATCACATAGCTACTCAGTAGCAGAGAAAGGACTAGAACCCTGGTCCCCTGCCTCCCAGTTAAGTCTTCCACCCACTACACTAACACGCTTCAGACTTGCGGCTTCAGAATAGGAAATGATTGCTATTGACTGTGTTTAGTCTCTGTGGATACATTCCCATCTGCACACATGGAAACTAACACCTGCTCAGTAGAATGTTTGAAGACTCCCAATTTTTGCTACTTCTTATGCATGGATATCAGAAATTGGCATCCTTTTGGAACAATCTTGGATGTGATACATTACATGATGGGGAATGTTCTACTCATTTTGAAAAGCACGTTGCCAATCATAGTCCCCAAGAAGCAGATCTATAGCCCATTATCTTCCAGGATGTGGAGGTGAAATTCATGCTGTAGAACAGAAATGAGTAATCCTATCTAGGGTTGGTTTGCAAATTTCCACATCATTAATCTCATCAATTCTTCTGTCATTCCTGGATGAAATCAATTTCATTTCTGCATCATGTTATCTTACACTGAAAGTTGCAAGTAAAATAAGCATGAACAAAAATATATTGTTTGCCTATTCTCCTGAGTAGTTTGTCATCTTTCATGATAGAAAGATGTTTCATGATAGAAGGTTGAATCTTTGGTATAGAAGTAATAGCTGACAGATGTATCCCCAAAATGAGTTAGAAGGCAGCGTGATACAGCAAAGCAAGCATTTTAAAAGGATTTGGTAAACCAAGGTCTGGTTTGGGAATTGACTCCGTCTCTAGCTAGTCATGTGACTTTGGGCAAATCAATTTCGCCCCCTCTGAGCCTCAGTTTCTCATCTCTCAGATGAGAAGATCGGGTCAGGTAAGCCCTAAATCCCCTTCCATCTCTAAATTTATCATTACTCTGGATCCAAAATAAACAAGTGGCAACATGTATACACACACACACACATATGTATATACATATAATATACATGTAAGAGGAAAATAGTTGTCTATGGATAACACAATTTTCAGTAGAAACAGAATTACTTCCCTTTTTGAAGGTGACATTTAGGTACTATTTTTTTAAGGCTTTATGAAAAGAAACCATGCCTCTGCCCATGCTAAGATTTTGTTAAGGCTGAGACTGATAAATTCTCATAATGTATAAGTGTTCAAGTAACCATTTGTCTTTGGTGTTATATTTAGAAGATCATTCCCTTCTTGTCTTTGGGTCAGTGAGGAGGGGGTGGGTGGGACTTGTACTTAGTTCTTAGCTACAACTTGAGCTTTGAATTGAATTTTAAAAAATAGTTATTAAGCATCTGTTACATGCAATGCACTGACTTTGTGCAATATGATCTGTACAAGTTGACCTAGGAGTGTTCAATGATACTCATTAACTATTCTAGGCAAATGATTTCCTTCCAAGAAGAGAAAGGTCAGAGCCAAAAGCTCAGAGTGCTCTGATAATACACCATGCAAATGACAAGCTGACATTCCAGGCATCCTGGTATAGTGCAAAGAGCCCTGTAGTCCAGAGATCAAAAGACTTGGGTTTGACTCCTGGCTCTGTGACTAGCTGTGTGACCTTGAGCAAGTTACTTTGCATCTTCAGATCCCTACCCCCTCTCTCTAACTCCACACACACACACACACACACACACACACACACACACACACACACACCCAGTACAAAGATCAGTCTCTCTGTCTCTTTCTTTGTCTCTGTCTCTCTGTCTCTCTCCGTCTCTGTCTTTCTGTCTCTGTCTCTGTCTCTCTTTTTTTCTCTCTCTCCCCACACCTACCTCACAAAATCCTAGAGGGCAAAACCCCTGAGTGCCACTGAAACAGATTAAAATGAATTGGGAAATGTTAAACAAAATAAATAAAGCTACAATACAACATAGATAATGTTTATTTGATATTTTCTATGTTAATATGTGGCTGGGGGAGATCTGCTTCTCTTTGAGTTTGACGTCATTGCTAGCATAGAATATTGGCATCAAAACCAATGGCCTCTCTGATACTTACTGGTTGCTTGACACTAGGAAAGTCATTTAACTTTTTGAGGTTCTAGGCAGCTCTCGGAGAATGTAAGTTAGAGAGAAGCTTTAGTGATAGAGTTTCCTCACTAGGACGTTTCCTTTACCAATGAAATCACAGATTCAGTTCTCATTTCAAGAATACTATTATGAATGACATTATTTTGTATGATAAAATAATAAGAATCAGGATTGGGCAAAGCAAAGAAGCCCAGAGAAAAAATTATTCCCTCACAGAAAGGTGTATTTCAGAATCTTTATCAAGAAGTTCGGGACAGCTAGGTGGCACAGTGAATAGAGCTCTAGCCTTGGAGTCAGGAGGACCTGAATTCAAATCCAGCCTCAGACACTTGACACTTACTAGCTGTGTGACCCTGGGCAAGTCACTTAACCCCCGATTGCCTCACCAAAAAGCCAAAAAAAAATCTGTTAGTTCCATTCTAGGCTGAAAGAATGGAAAATGGAACTGTATTGTTTAAGACAGAGAAAATGATTTTAAATAGCACTCTCCTCAACTAATGTCATCTCCTAAACTTAATACCCAAGTATGGATTACAACAACAGTTTGGTAATCTCTACAGATAAGCAGATTCCATGTGTCTTACATTAAAAAAAAAACAAACCCTTCACAGCTGTATAGCACTTTATACCTTTCCAAAGTACTTTCGCTCCATTGTCTCATTTGATCCTTGTAACAATCCTGTGAGGTAAGTACGGCAAGATAATAATTTCCATTTTACATGTGAGAAGATTGGAATAACTTGCCCAAGGCGAGTGGGAATTCATTGTGTCACTCTAGCCCCATCCTTGTGAAGTAAGGAAAGCATTTTTGTACAACAGATTTAACATAGCAGAGATTTTAAAAATCAAATTATTTTCTTAGCCAGATAAACTAGAGGGAAAAGATGGCTACATTCATTATTTTGAATCATAGAATCTTGAGGTTGAAGAAGATGCCAGAGGTCATCTAACGAAGCCCATACTTGAACCCTGGACACTTTCAGTGACAAGGAATCCTTTAGCTTCTGCTTGAAGACCTTTGGAAACAGCTCATTAAATTTTGATTTTGTTCAGTTGGATCCAACTCTTTGTGACCCCATTTGGGGTTTTCATGGCAAAGATACTGGAGTGGTTTGCCATTTCCTTCTCCAGCTCATTTTACAGATGAGGAAACCAAGGCAAACAGGATTATGTCTGAGGCCAGATTTGAACTCAGGAAGATGACTTTCTGACTTCAGACCCAACTCTCTATCCACTATGCCAGTTGAATTCTTGGGCAGCTCAAGGTGTTAAGATAATTCTTCAATGTATTGAGCTGAAATAAGCTTTTCTAATAATTTTCACCATTTGGTTCTTAGCTAATCCTACCTTCTAAGGTCATACAGAACTGGTACAATCCTCATTTCATACGATAACATTTTAATTTTGGTTTGAATGGGGTAGTGGGAAAAATGCATTTTGGAGTAACAGGACCTGGGGTTGAATCCCCTCTCTGATATTTATTATCCATAAGACCTTGGGAAAATCAGTTAATTTCTCTGGGTCTTGGTTTACTTGTTGAAGAATATAAAGGATTGCTAATATACTGTCTGTCCCTAAATCCATGATCCTATGAATTCGATTTTTCATTAGAGCTGAGATTTACTTGTTGAGACAGACTCATACAGAAATAAGTAATCTTACAGAGGAGTTGTTTCACTCCTAGTGTTGCCTGAAAGTAATTTTTTTGTCTATTCCTGTAAGTTGCTTCTAGAATCTACTGAGAACCTCGAAGATGCCTAACTGGGGTGGAGGAGCAAGCTGTGGGGCTTGTGGAAAAACAGTCTATCATGCGGAGGAAATCCAATGCAATGGGAGAAGTTTCCACAAGACTTGCTTCCACTGCAGTAAGTTGGGTGATAAACCTCTGGGTTCAGGTGGTGCTTCCAAATCCACATTGGATACAATGAATGAATGAATGAATGGAGTGAATGGAGTCAGTGAAAAAGCATTTATCAGTGCTTCTACGGATGTCCTTATCACTGACACATTAAACAGGGGAGAGGGTGGTTAGAGTTATTTTTGCCTAGCTAGATTGTGGAAGGCCTTGGACAACAGGCTAAACAGTTTAAACTCGTTAGCCCAAATGTAGCAGAGGGGAAGGAAATGAGCATTTATATAGTGCCTACTATGTGCTAGGCACTGTACTAAGTGCTTTACAAAAATTACCTCATTTGACTCTCACAACAACCTTGCAAGGTAGGTGGTGTTATTACCCCTATTTTACAGTTGAGAAAACCAAGGCAAACAATAGTTAAGTGACTTGCCTAGACTCACACAGCCAAAAAGTATCTTGAAGCTGAATTTGGAACCTAGGTCTTCCTAACTCCAGGTCCATTGTTCTATCAACTGCATCACCTAGCTGACCAAGAATAAACACAAGCTTTGGAGTCAGAAGACTTGAGTTCAAATTCTGGATGTCCTATGTACTTACTAATTCTGTGACCTTGGGCTGAGATATCACTTTTGCAGGCCTCTGATTCCTCATCTGAAAAAATGAGGAATTTAGACTCAAATGTCCTTTAAAGCTCTTGAGAATTTTATCAGCATGTCATAGTGAACAGACAGCTGGCATCCAAGACTGGAAGACTTGGGTTCAAGTCCCTCTTCTGGATGTATGACCCTGGATGTAATTCCCTTAACCTTTCAGTGGTTCAGTCAACACTTTAAGAGTGTAAGTTGGAGAGGAGGTGCTGATGTGCATTAGTAAAAAATGTTTTTCACATGGAACATCCTACACATACACGGTTCCAGTTCCAGCCCCAACCCTATCTTGTGAACTTGTAGACAATAGGGGAACTACCTGCCCTGTGTCTTGTAGAAAGTGTCAGCTGGTCTCCATTTTATCCATGAATAAACTGGGACTTAGAGAGATGAAGACTTGTCCAAGGTGGACCAGAGAGTAAATGGCAGAGGCAACATTCCTATCCAGGCTTTCTGCTTCCAAGTCCTTCAAGACGTGCTCTCTCTCTTAGGTCCTTTCCAATTCTCTGAGTTCCTCATAATCACTGAAGAGCTGCTGAAACATGGATTTCTGTGATAGTAATAGATCTAAGGGACATTTGAGATGACTTTAGAAACACTTAACCATCCTATGACTCCAACCATTAGCAAATTTACACTTGCCCAAGAGTGGTTCTTTTTCTATTTTATTTATTTTGCTCTGTTTTAAATTCTCATTCATTAGTTCCGCCCATCAGAGGATTTTCATCTTTAAAAGTAAAACAGCTAGATATTAAAGAAACTCCTGGTGTGAGCAGGTGGTAGGGTAATCTGTTAATCCAGCAAGTGATTCCACTTTGGGCACCAGTCCCTAGGATTCTCATGGGATTATTAGCCTATCAGGTTATTCTCACAGGCACCAAACATGTCACTGTGGCTAGAAGCTTAGAGTGATGAGAAAGCCAGCACATGTCCTGTGCAAATGGTATTATTTACCAGCTGCATCGGTGCAAACTTGGTCATAAACCAGCCCCTAATGGGATGAAGGAGCCTCTCCTTTCCAAATTGCTCCTTAGCTACTGAGTCTCTCCCACCTCCATAGGCCCGGTTTCAAATTTAGCAGGCCAGCTCCTGGCAAACCTCTAACTCCTCTGTGCTCCTCATGGGCTGCTAAGTTATGCCATATCTGGGAGCTATTTTAATAACACTTCAAGGGCTTCAGCTCCATTTGTTGCAGTGAAAAAGATACTCCATTCCAGAAATAGGAACACTGTATCTACCCTGCCCTGGTTTCCATTATCCTTTACCTTCTTCAGTAAATATTAATTATCATTATAAAACTGGGGAATAAATGGTTACTCTCTGGTGATGGCAGATTGCCAATGCTTTTAGTTTTGTGATGAGAGATTGCTTGTTAAAAGTCATCTCATGTGTCATACAGAAACACTTCTACGATGATAATCCAGGTTTCAACAGCTCTAGGGAGATCCTGATGGATTTCGCAAATTCACACTCATGGAATCCTGGAATCTCAGAGGTGGGAGGAGCCTTGCAGGTCATCTAATCCAACTCAGACCTGACCCAAGAATTTTCTTTACCGAAAAAAAAAATTGCTACAGGATGGCAAAAAAATTCATTTTTAGCCTGTGATAAACAAGGCTTTTAAGGAGAGCTATGTCTTTGTCACAAAGTAGTCTCTTAATAAATGTTTGCTGATTGATTGATGATACAGAATGAAAGACTCCACCTATCCGGAATGTTTTTAACCTCTACCTCTTAGAATTCCTGGTTTCCCTTAAGACTCAGCTCATGGGTCACCAGGAGACTTTACTCTGGTCCCAAAGTTACTAGCGCCATACTAGGGGAGTATTGTGTAAAAAGACTGTAAAGAAAGGAAGGAACCAAGTTGTAAAGGGCTTTAAAAGCCACAGAAAGGGTTTTCTATTTAATCCTAGAGGTGATAGGAAGCCACTTGGGTTTGTTGAGTAGAGAAGTGACATGGCCGAACCTATACTTTAGGGAAATCATTTTGGCAGCTTCTAGAGAGGAAATGACTCAGAATGAGGAGAGACCTGAGGCAGAGGGACCGACCAGAAGACTACTGCAATAGTTCAGAAATGAAGAGATGAGTCCTACACAAGGGCGGTGGCTATGTGAGTAGAGAGAAGGGGACACATATGGGAGAAGTTGCAAAGATAGAAACAACAAAACCTGGCAATAAATTGGTGACAGAGTGGTTGAGGATGACACTGAGGTTGTGAGCCTGGGTGGCTGAAAGGATGGTGGTGTCTTCAATAATAATTTGGGAAGTTGGGAACAGGGGGAAGTTTGAGAAGAAAGCTCATGAGTTGTTTTGGACACGTTGAGTTTGAGATGCCTACTGGACATCCAGTTTGAGTCTGATCCTTACCAAAGGATCTGATGTCTGATAGACAGTTGGTCATGTGAGATGATCAGGAGAGAGGGTAGGATGGGATATAATTTGACTTTATATTAGATCTTTTATATAATAAATATAAAATATATTATATATATATTAATATATATAATTATATATATAAATATACATAATATATAATTATATATATTAATATATAATATATATATAAATATATAATAAATATAAAATATAAAGGATCTAATTTGACTTTACCAGTCAATTCTATAGTATCGAAGGAGAAGAGAAGGTCTGGGACAGGGGTTAGGGAACCCCCAAGATTAGTAGACATAACCTAAATGAAAAGCCAGTAGTGGGGACTAGGAAGTGGATAAGTAAAAATTTAGATCATTGGAACTGATAAGGTCACCAAATAAGATAATATATGGAGAGGAAAGGGGGACCCAGGACAGACTCTTGGGAGACATCTACCATTAATGGGCATGATCTAGAGGAAAGTCCAGCAAAGGAGACTGAGATTGAGCAGGAGAACCAGCAGAGAGCAGAGTCATGAAAATCTAGAGAGAAGAGAGTATGTAGGAGAAGTGAGTACCTGCGAGCCAGTCTTCTCCTTTTGTGTAATTTTATGTTGTTTGCTTTCATTTACAGAAAGAATCTATTTTGGAGGTGGTACAGTTCCTCCAGGTCTGAATCAATTCATTGTTCACTAGAAAAAGATCTAACATTTAGGATATCAACTATTAAATATTTATTTATAGATGGTTTAGAAATCATTCTTAGTACCCTCTGTCTCCCTTTTGTGCCACTTTACTTCTGTTACCATGGAAACAGAAGGGGATCGGGTAGGCTTGGGGATCAGCTTATATTTTTATCTATTTCAATGTTCACCATGGTCTAGGAATTCACTAACTAGTGGCCAATGGCTATTAAAGAGTCTCTCTCTGTACTTAGCTAGGCTGGAACTCAGTAAACACATCTCTGGGACCACACTCCAACCCTTTCCAGTCTGGTAGAGCTTACCAGAATTTGCAATGTTGGTATAACCTTTAAGAAGCCAAGATCACCATTACAGTTTAATGAGGCACTAGAGTCAGTAGGGCTTTTATGAAAGGTTGAAAGTATTACTCAAAAAGATCTAAGACAGATTTAAAATGTAGCTTCATGATAACAAGAATCTGGATAAAAATAGACAATATCAAGTATTTCATTCACATAGTTTGTATACGTGGAGGAAAAAACCTTAAATTTTTAAATATAGTTTTTCCATTTTCCATTCTTATTTTTAGTGTTTTAGTCTTAGCCCCAAAGAAATCATGACACAGATGACTGAAAGGTTTTTGAGAGGTTTTTGTTGTGGTTGTTCTCAGAAGGAAATCAACTACTCAAGATCATGTCATTTTGTTAGTAATGAATTTCTTCCTAGAAAGAATAAAACAATTTTGAGTTAAAATTTAGACCACTCAATGCACATCTGAAAGATAAGAGAATAAAGTCTTAGTATCAGATATCACTATAAAAGTCTGTTGTCAAAAATGTATGGACCAGGAGTCAGGAAGATCTGAGCTCAGATCTAGTCAACGAATCAATCAATAGACATTTATTAAGTGCCTACTATGTACCAGGCATTGTGCTAAGCACTGGGGACACAAAAAAGAGGCAAAATACAGTCCCTGCCCTCAGGGAACTTACAATCTAATGAGGGAGACAAAGTACAAACAAATACATACACAGCACTAGAATTAAGAGGGGTAGGGGAAGGCTTCCTGCAGAAGGTGGGATTTTAGACAGGGCAAAGGAAGCCAGAGAGATCAGTAGTTGGAGCAGAAAAGGGAGAACATTCCAGGAGTGGGAGTCAGCCAAAGACAGGAGCCAGTTCATTTGCTATGTAAATGTATGACCATGTGCAAGTCACAACCTATGTCTGTCTCAGTTTTCTCTTCTGCAAAATGGATAAAATAATAACAACAACAACCAGTTCCCTAGGCTGTTGTGAGGATAAAATAAAAAAAAAATCATAAAACATTTGCAAATGTTTTTAAACATTTTAAACTTTAAAGCATCATGCAAATATCATCATCATCATCGATTACTAAGAACCATTCCCCAGCAGCTAAACTGCTAGAGGATACAAATGGTTTCCAAAATAAGAACTGTGAATTATCCACGAAGATATGAAAAAAGGGCTTAAATTACTACTAATAAGAAAAATACAAATTAAAGCAACTCTGAAATTTTACTTCAAACCCAGTAAATTGGGAAAGATCCAATTCAATCCAACAAAAAAAAAATAGAAGCAACTCCAGTTGGATGGGCTATGGTAAGACAGAAACACTTTACTGTATTGTTTGAATTGTGAATTGGTCTAACTGTTCTGGCTGATGATCTGGAATCAAGAAAAATAACTAAACCTTTTACTCTGATGAAGCAGTCACAAAACCAGCATCCAACTGGCACATTCCCCAAGGAAGTCATAAGAATAGAAGGCTCCATATCTAATGAAATATTCGTAATGTACTTATGTGGTAGCAAAGACCTACAAACAAAGTGTCTACCCATCACTTGGCCAAACAACGTGGTATATTAATGTAATAGAATGTGTTTGTGCTATAAGAAATGATGATTATGGAGAGCTGAGGGACATGAGATTTGAATGAATTTACACAGAGAGGCATAGTCAGGAGAAGACTTTATGCAATGATTATAATAATGTAAACAGAAAGAATGCCAAAAGGAAGTCCAACTGAGTAACTGGAATGACAAATTTTAGTCATGGAGAATGGTTAATGAAATATATTACTTCCTCTCTGCAAAGAGGTAGGGAAGGGACAATGGGGGCAGAAAATACAGTGGTTTTGCTGAACTGTTTTTCTTTGTTACAAAGGATTCAATTTTGGGGGACAAAGGGAAATATCTGGAAATGATGTTAATATAAAAACAATACAAATTAAAATGATTTTTAAATGAGAGGTATGCTGTGCATTATTAAGCATAGCACTTTAAGCAAAGTACTTTACAAATATCTCACTTGATCTTCACAACTACTTTGGGGGACAGATGCTATTATTATCCCCATTTTATAGATGAAGAAACTGAGGCAGACAGAGGAGAAGTGACTTGCTTGGAGTCAGCATTCTATCCGATGCCCCACCTCTCAATCACTGATGCAAACTTGATAATGAACTTACTTTGAAAGAGATTGCTTAGGAGGATTATGATATTCTGACACAATCTGGACCCCTAATACCAAGTTTCCTCTTTCAGTGGCTTGCAGGAAATCTCTGGACAGTACAACAGTAGCAGCTCATGAATCTGAGATCTATTGTAAATCATGCTACGGGAGGAAATACGGCCCCAAAGGAATTGGATTTGGACAAGGTGCTGGCTGCCTTAGCACTGATACTGGTGAACATCTTGGATTGCAATTCCAACAGTACGTTAAAATCCTGTCACCTCTCTCTCTATTTTGTTGATGTTCTATTACCCAATTATTAGGGCACTTCATTTAGTTTCCATAGCGACGTTTTCTGGAAGTAGAAGAATGGACTATAGTGTTGATGGGTCTATAATGGGAATAGTCAATTTGACCAAGTTTTTTTATTAAACAATGTTCCATTTTTCTAAAGACTCTTTAAATTATCTGCCATTCCAACAGGCAATTACTCTTACACAAGGGCTCTTGTTTTGCATGTTGATGGAGAACCTGAAATGCATGGACTTTATGGGGTCTGAAGGTTTAGAGACCTTCACAGCTTCTCCTTTTTTAACCTTTGGGAGATTAAATGTCAATCACATTAATGCAGCTAAAGTCATTATGGTACTGTGTATTCTTATCTTATAAGCAATACAAAAAAAATCCCTTCTCTGATTCCCCACTCACCCCTGGGTCATAAGATGAATAATTACAAGTCATCTCAAAGGGTGCCTTGGTAGGAAATTCTTTATATCCTAAATAAATAATCAACTGCTTTCCTAGTGCCATTAGTATAATGGCTTTGGGAAATTTTTGCAGTAGCTTGTAACCAATGTTAGTTAGTCAGTCAATAAGCATTTATCAAGTACTTATTCCCTATTGGCACTGTGTTAAACAATGGGGACAGATAGAAAGGCAAAAACTTGGTACCTTCTGGCATGAAGCTCACATTCTAATGGAGGGAGACAGACAACATGAAAATAATTAAGCCATATTCAACCATATTCAGTATGAATGGCAGACAATCTCAAAGGGAAGGCACCAATTGCTGTACCAGGCAGTAGGAATACAAAGATAAAAATGAAACAATCCCTGCCCATAAGGAACATAAATCCTATTGGAGAGAAACAACATTTATAGAGACAAGTGAAAAATTAAAGGTTGATCACTTGGCAATAACATAGGTAGGGAAACTCACCTGATTTATCTGTACTAGGTGGCTTGGAACTCACAAAGAAGGCCCAATTTACCTTTGTAGGCTATTCTCCCTCAAGCACCCTCTAGTCTAGTCAACTTGGACTAATTACTCCCATTCACTGGACCTCTGAATCTAATACCTCTGTGTCCTTGGCTTAGAATTCCTTCATCATTCCATTTCTCTCTGCCTGTTGAAATCTTATCCATCTTTAGATGGTCGGCTTCCAAGTTTCTTGAGCTGGGGTGCCTCTTCAAAGGAGGCTTATTTGTAACTTGAGGAAATTGGAATCGATGATTTCAAATGTGCCTTCCAGCCTTGACATACTATGATTCTAGAATTTGTTAATTCCTCCAACCAGAACTGAGCTCTCCCCTTCTTGGTTGCTGGAATACTTTCTTTGAATTGGCATAGGACATCTAGGCTGTGAGCTTCTGGAGGGTGGGGATACAAGTCACTTATCTTTTCATTGTCTTCAGTATTTCCCATAGTGCATGACACTTGAATAAATGAATAAATCTCAGATCATTTCAAGATTGTATATATTATAACAACTACTGTAACAGTAATAGCTAATGTTTATATGGCCTTTTAAGGTTTACAAAGCATTATACACACATATACATATGCACACATACATGTATATATACATTTATACATATACATACAGATAGGCATATGTGTGTGTGTATATACACACATGTATGTGTGTGTATATATATGTATATATGTATGTGTGTATATATATCTATATATACATATACGTATACGTATATGTATATGTATATATAGATATAGATATAGATATAGATATATATCTATATCCCTTTTGATCCTCACATCCTCACAGCAACTATTTGAGGTAGGTGTTATTATCAACCTCATTTTATAAATGAGAAACTGAGGCAAACAGAGGTTAAATGACTAGCTAGGAAGGATTTTAACTCAGGTCTACCCATCTCTAGTACTTTAACCATTCTACTACCAAGCTGCTTAAGTCAATATCCCTTCAATAGTCTGTCTAAAAATTTAGGAAGGAAAAGCAGTAACAACAACAACAAAAAAGGATGAAATCCTGAAATAAAAAAGAAGTCTCTTTTCATTAACTGGCCTCATTATTCAATTCCAGAATGGGATCTCTACTTGGAGGAAAAAGGATTGCATTGAGAAGGTTCCTATTGTGTTCTTAATTTTGTTATTGTGATGGTGTCATAGGAAGAGTCAGAATGCCTGGTCTCTCACCTTAGCTCTGGGATTTCCCAGGCATTTGTCCTCAGGTACTTGAAATCTCTGAGCCTCGGTTTTTTCATCTGTGAAATGGGAATAATAATCCTTCCTCTACCTGCTTGATAAGGTTGTGGTGAGGATGAAATATTTCACATTTGTGAATATGCTGATTAGCTATAAAAGACCGTATTAAAGTTTTGCAAAGGATCTTTCCAACTCCAGATTAAATGAATTTAATAATTAATGCCTGTTGATTGACCTTACGATTCTATGATTATATTATCTGTTTGCTTTGTTTTTGGTCTCCCATGGAGAATCCATCCATTGAGTAAAACATGTTAGATTGAATTGCAATGAGAAATTCTATACTGTTGCTTTTGGGCATGTATCATCAATCCATCCTCACTCTATAATAAAAAAATTTTCAAATTTCTCTTTAGAGAGGAAGACAGAATGCTTCATGTCACTATACATACAATACTAGGTCCCCAAGCTAAATAGGAGAAACTAGAACCTAGACTCATTGAATATTATCAATAGAAGAGACCTTAAAGATCATCTCATTCATCTCCGTCATTTTAGACAAGAGATAACTAAGGCCCAGATAGGGGAAGGGAGAGTCAGGGGCTGAACCAGAACCAAGATCAGGCCACCTGCTTTTTCTATTATAATGTCTGTCTCAGGAAATTAACTATCATTGGTAAAATGAAGTCATGTGGACCACTAACCTGCCTTTTTTCCATTAGGTCCCCCAAGACAGCTCGGTCAACTACCAGCAACCCTTCCAAATTTACCCCCAAGTTTGGTGAGGTGGAGAAATGCCCTCGCTGTGGCAAATCAGTCTATGCTGCTGAAAGAATAATGGGTGGTGGCAAAGTAAGGAGTACCTTCTTTCTCTCTTCATTTTTGGTGGCAAACATTTTTGCTCACATTTTGAATTCAAGAAACCAGGAGACACGGAAAGAAATTCATATTATCAATTGCCTATGACTATTATTCTGACACACACCCTGAAGTATGGAATTGAGTTAGTATTTTTTGGTTTTGGGGTGGTGGGGGGAAGGAAGGCTTTTGTAACAGTGATTGGTGACTCTCACCTCTAATATAATTTTAGAGTTAATCACCAAAAATAGAAAAGAAATGCCCCTGAGAAGAGCCACAGCTAATACTTCTAGTGTTTGAAGCAAGCACCACAAATTGTGCCAGCCCAAGGCAACAGCTCTTATATGATGAAAACCTGTAGGGGGGGATAGATGTGAGTATAGCACCCTGGGACTCTTCTCCCCCAATCTCTGACACCTTACCCCTAATGGAGACGGAGGAAAAGTTATTGCTGTGAATGCTGCAACTGAAGAACTCACCTCAGCTGTGGAAAGTGAAGAGAAAAAATATCAATCAATCTGGAATTTGTTGATTCCTGCAACCAGAACTGAGCTCTCCCCTTCTTGGCTGCTAGAATACTTTCTTTGTACTAAGCTGTGAGCTTCTGGGGGTAGGGATTCAAGTTACTTATATTACAATCAATCAATCAATCAATAAGCATTTATTAAGTGCTTATGGGATACTAGGTACTGTTCTATACGTTGAGGATACAAAGAAAAAAGCAAAAACAGTCCCTGTCCTCAAGAAATTTACATTCTAAGGGGGAAGGGAAAGACAATTATACACATATGGAAGATATACAAATTGCATACAAAGTAGATAAGAAGGTAATTTTTAGGGAGGAAAGCACTAATAATAATAGTTAGAATTTATGTAGTGCTTTAAGCCTTGCAAAACACTTTATACATATGTTATTTTATTTGATCTTTATAACAGTCATGTGAGTTAGGGGCTATTATTATCCCCATTTACGGATGAGGAAACTGAGGCTCAGGAAGGATGATTTGTTTACTATCTCATAGCAAATAAGTATCTAAGGCAAGATCTGAACTTAGATCTTCCTCCCCTGAAGTCTAACATTTTATCCCCAAGGCCAACTATCTGCTCCAGCTTAGGGGAAAGGGAGAAAGGAGAAGGCATGGGACATCCAATTTCCTATTTTAACTAATTTTTCTTTTTTTGGGGGGGTGCTGTTCAATACTTTTTTTCTTTCCATTTAAATATTTATTTTCCCAATTACATGTAAAACAATTTTTAACATTTGTTTTTTTAAAATTTGAGTTCCAAATTCTCTCACTACCCCATTCCCATCCTCCTTCCCTGAGTTAACTAATTATTCTTGATAATTAAATAAATAAAATAATATATAAACAATAATTAATAATAAAATAATATATAATTAAATAATAAAATAAATTTTTTAAAGTTACAGATTTTTTCTTTGAAGAGCACTTTATAAGCCTTCAAAGTAGGTAGATAGATAAAGCATTTATTAAGCACTTACTGTATTCCTTACTCTCAAAAAGTTTACATTCTAATGGGGGGAAAAACACATAAAAGGGAGCTAGAAAGAGAGGGTAGGGTGGATGAAGCTAGGAACTTTCTGGTAAGGGTGCTAGTGACAAGGTACAGAAATTCTGAGAGTGAGAAATAGATCTGGGAGTGAAATGAGCATGTCTTTGGTACCTTATAAAATGGTGGTCAAAGCCAGGGACTCACCAATCAGAGGAGAGGGTTGCAAAACAAAGGCATCTTCAGAGTGAGAAGGCTGCTGGTATGAGAAGGAAAAGTCTAGAGAGTCAGGAATGGAACTAGGACGCTCTATTAAATAAGTTATGTAAATTACTGTGAAGACTTGGGATAAATCAACAAAATCCCCTTTGTCTGAAATATACAAATAACTAAAGCAAAAATATCTCACTGGATTGAATTACTTGGATGACTGGCTCTTTTCCTTTCATCTTAGATACAAGCTTAATTTGAAATTCCAACTCAATGTCATATGCTTGCCACACACTGTTAGGTTGTTACTTGGATGATAAAAGTAATGGACATGTTCAAACCAAGTTAGCCTTACTGGCTAAAACTAAACAGCACCTTTACTCATCACTCATTTCTAAATTTAATTGGATTCAGCTGGATTTTTCTTCTGAGCCCATCTTGGTCAATAGCCACCTATATTTTCTAAGGATTGGTTGTACCTTTTCATATGGCTTCAGTCACTGTCCTACAGTATGAAAAGCATTGCTTGCCTAGTCATATGACATCTTTCCTTCTACTCCCCAGCCATGGCACAAGACTTGTTTCCGCTGCGCCATCTGTGGAAAAAGCTTAGAATCTACAAATGTCACTGACAAAGATGGAGAACTTTATTGCAAAGGTGAGTGAGAGGAGAGGAATGTCAAGTTGCATCATGGGCATCTCTGTGCCAGAGAACCTTCTTTGCCTTTCTGTCAGGGCAGCCTTCTGAGCAATCATAGGATTTGGGTTCTTTGGTGAGGGTGAAGGCTGCTTCAGGGGAAAGGACAATGCCAAATTCAATACAGTTTTAGTCATTCTGTCCATTTAATCCCTTACCCAGAGCCCAGGCTAGGGTGAAGTCCTGAGCCCCATACCTTGGGTGTAGCGGTAGGGGAAAGATTAATTGTTACTGTGGGGATGACATGACTGGAGTTGGTCAAAGCATCAATGAAGAGAAGCAGATGATATACTCTCAGGCCCTAGCAATTAGCACTAAAAATGCTCTGAAGCTCTCACATATAATTCTGACAGTGTATAGTGAAATCTCCACCTTCCCATCTCCTTCCTTCTGGCTGCCTGTGCCTTGGCAACAACACTCTCTTTCTCCTTTCATACACCCTGCCATCTCCAATCTCCTGCCCTCACCACTGTCACTATAGTACCGCTCCCTTCAAGAAAACCCAGTCCCCTCCTAGGTAGAGAAGAGTGATCATCGATTAACTTGTCTCAAGTGTCACATCTCCCTTTCTTTTCCCCTGCATTGACATGGGCTCCTTCTTTGATGTCATCAGCGTGGGAACTCTCTTTCTGAATCTGATTCCAGTATCTCCACTCCTTCTCAACTAGTGTTCATATTTTTCCCTAAACTCTCTTAGGATCATAGAGCTTGAGATGGAAAGGACCTCAGAAACCATTTAATCCATCTGCCTTCTCATTTTACAGAGGAAGAAACTGAGGCTTATGGAGGTGAAGTGATGCCACAGGTCACACCAGTTAGTAAGCATCAGAGGCAGGATTCGAATCCAGGTCCTCTGCTGCCAGAGCCACTGACCCAAGTTGCTTTCTCCAGAGAAGCTTTCCTCTGGTTCTTTGATTATTTCATAAATATCCATGAATTACTGGGGCTGACTCATATGTTACTCTCACTATCTGGCCAGCCCATCTCCTTTTTTGCTCATAAATGGCCTTTTATGTCTTCTACAGTATTTTCCCAGCACAAATCATTAATGAATGTTGCCTTTTAGTTACAACCAACATGGGCTGTATTACACATTTGCATTGCTCTTTGGGTACTCCCTACACCTAATTCCAGGTTAATCTCCAAGGTTCTTACATAGGGTTGCAAACAAATCCCCATAAATCTTGTGTTCAGCAACTCTCTTTTATTTACGTCTTCCAAAATCTCATTTCTATTCTTGTCATAGTTACTTTTTCTCAACCTCACTCTCCATGGCTCTTTTCTTACTGGCTTTCCTCTCAGGGAATTGAGGAGGAAATGCGCCCCTTTACAGAAATGTGAGGTTTTGTTATCCCTATAGTAAGTACCTCCTGGCTTCTAAGGATGAGCAATGGGGTTTCCCCCAGATCCTAGATTTAATACTACTTGGATATTGGTTAGAATGGACAGAGCAATGATTCTGACTGGGTTGGGTCTAGATTCTGATTCTAGGATCTGTCACTATCTTGCTTGGGATCTTGGATAAGTCACTTAAACTTGTTGAGCTAACTTAGATTGAACTCCATAAAATGAACCGGTTAGGCTAGAGGATCTCTAAGACTTTCTCCAGCACTATTCTTCTAAAATTCTCTTCCTTTTCACCACCCACTCTAACCAGTGCTTCAAAAGTCAAACTACTATCATGAAAGCATGGGACACTGATGGTTAGGCACAGTAAGATGGTTAGGCTCTCAGAACTGGAGTTGGTCCATTTTGTTTCATCCAAAAAGTGAAATGTCCCCACAGAATTTAGGCCTTTAAGCCAGCAGTTTCACTTAAAGGGTGCCAATGCTTGTCTACACAACTAAATACAAGTTACAGCTACTGGTGGTATTAGGTGCCATGATTTCCTCTTGGCAAGCTACCTACACTGAGATTTCTTGCTGCAAAGTAGGCAAGAGCTTGTCAGTTACCCCTTTAGCTTAAACTTTTTAAGTGGATATCAAGTAGGTCCAATTTTTAGAAAAAAAAATTTTAAGATACAGGTAGAGCCAGATTTAAGAAAAAAATAAAGATATAAGTAGATACAGTTTTAAGAAAATTTACCCCAGTTCCCACAAAAGAAACAAAAACAACACCAAAAACTCAGTTGCTTTGGGGGAGATCATTCACATTATCAGAGCCCTCTGAGGTTTTAGCTTGCTCAAGAAGGCGTAAAGCAGAGAGGATTCTCAGTATTTATGAGTGCATAGTTACAGATCCCAAGACTCTCATCATTCATCAGGAACAGAATCTTGGAATCCTAGCATTCTCTGGGAATAAAACCATAGAATATCAACCAGCATTCACAGAGATTTTCAGAAAAATACTTATCATGAAAAGCATATTAGAATTAACAGACAAAATGAACTTATTGAATCAGAATGAAGTAATATAACCTCATTGACTAAGCTGTTTTCCGTCTTTTTCCACGTTCTTATTTCCTTTCTTTCAGTTTGCTATGCCAAAAATTTTGGCCCCACAGGGATTGGGTTTGGAGGTCACACAAAACAAGTGGAGAGGAAAGAGTGAAGTATGCTGAATTCTGGGCATTTGTGTACGACTTTTCCTGGCACAAAGTTTTGACGAGCAATCACAACGAATGACACATTTTCCCAATAATCATCTTTGAAGCTGGACAAGATTTCTTTTCAGAAGCAGTCGATGTACTAAGTGATGCTAGGAAAGTCTTTGGAAGAAAATTAATTTCTTTCTATTATGTTACAAATAAATTAATTCTTGAGCTACTTTTGGGATTGATAAATAAATGTTAACTGGTGCCAGAGGATGTCCTGGTACATTTCTTGAATTGACTTTTTAATGGGAAATGATTTTTCAAGAGAATGTGGAAACACATATCCTTTATAGTCAGTCTCAGTTAGGTGTATTCACAACCATGGGAAGCGAATGAGAGGTTTGGAAGGTGCAGGACTAACACAAAGGTTTCTTTGCACACGGTAGGTGTTTAATAAATGTTTGTTGAATTGAATTAAAGAACAAATAAGTGAGGAAAACAATTGATGAAGGAAAATAGTAGAAGACTCAGGTCTTTTCCCCAGCCTACCAGCTTGAAGAAAAGTTCACATAAGGATGAAGAGAAGATGGGGGATGAGGGAAAAGAGAAAATATAGTTCCCATTTTTAAGCTGAAAGCTAAAAGCATGCTGTTGTTGGAAAGGAAATATTTATCTCATCCACCAGCTTTTTAATCCTACATGTTTCTTGAAAATTCAAATGACAATAAATGATAGATATTGTTTACTTCACAAATCATTTAAAAAGACTGTTCCTTTATTCTTGGACTTAGTCTCTCATTTAAATGTCTTTTATTTCAAATTATTAGAGCTGAGATCAAACTGCAGCTGATTATGAAATTCTTTCCTCTTTTGCAGTACCCAGAGGTGTAATATGTATGTGTGTATGTGTGTGTGTGTGTGTGTGACGGGGAGGGGGAAGAGAGAGAGAGAGAGAGAGAGAGAGAGAGAGAGAGAGAGAGAGAGATGGTAGAAAACAGAAGTTAAGAGACTTGAATTATAGTTCTGCCTCAATTACCATGTCATTATATGACCTTGGGCACAACCCTTCTCATTTTACTCATCTATAAAATGAAGGCTTTGGACTGAGTTATCTTTAAGACTCCTTCTAGCTCTAATAATATTGGCAGCATGTTATAATTGGAAGAGTATTTGGAATCCAAAGATTTGTTTGTGAGTCTGAGTTCTCACACTCCATAGCTTTGCAAGAGCAACAACAATAATAACTAGCATTTATACATTGAAGTCTATAAAGTGCTTTACCTATGTTTTCTCAGTAACATTGGGCAAGTCATTAAACTACCCTGAGACTCAGTTTCCTCATCAATGGGGACAATAAAATTTAAACCACCTGCTGAACTGTGTGGAAAGTGCTTCATAAAGCCCTGTATAAATGGGAGATGTCATCAGCATCTATGAGTCCACATTTTCATTAAACTTCATTTCTCTTCAATGATATCTCATTTGAGCCAAATTATGAGATACATTCTTAATACAAAGAGCAAAATAATCACTCCTATGTTCTGACTTTCAGTTCATGTTTCTGCGTTAATTAGAACAAAAGAAAACCTATGAGAATAGTAGTAAATCAAGTGACAAGAAAAAATTCCCTCATAGGTTACCATCAGTAGAAGGAGGGTACATACATACATACACACACACACACACACACACACACACACACACACACACACACATAGAGAATATTTGTGATATGGAAACATGAATGAAGGTATACATATTAGAAACCCATTTAGTTACATATGCAGGACACACATACATATACATACACACACATCGGGGCCAGTGTAGCCAGAACAACTCACTCCTGTAATGCCATAGGGCTGCTGAAGTCCTCCAGATGATGAACATCACTGTTCTCTGCTGGGCATTCCGTATTGTGTCTCTTTCCTGCTGACTTGTCTTTCCTGAATATCTCCACTGGTCTCATGGTCTTCAAACTACTTTAAGTTATTATTATTTTTCTGGCTTTAGTTCTTCAAGGCCATTCACTGATTTCTGTTTCCATCTATTAAAATGAAATCGCTAGAAACTTGATAAGGGCAGGTTGACACTCTTTTAGTGTATAGTTAAGACTATGAGTCACCAGAATGAGTAGGGAAGAATTGTAAGCAGAATACCTTGGGCTAAATTGAAGCCTATTCTGACTAGCACCCCTGTCTCCTAAGCAAACCTGCAGCCCTAGGCCCCAGGTAATCATTTGACCTAGGATTAAAAATTCCTTTAAAATTCTTGATTGTTTTCCCATGTCTCCAAAACACATTTCATGGCCTCTGCCCTCAAAATTCTACAATGAGAACTACCCAGAAGCTTCACTTCCAAGCTCCTCCTTGATTGATATGCAAATGAAAGTAGGTGAAGTAGGAATGATCCCTATTTCTGTTTTTATTATACATACCCGCAAAAGCTCTCACTTTTTTGCCATGTTTTGGAAGCACAAAATCTTATAATTCTCCCTACATGTAAATTCTAAATGAATCAATGAACAACAATAAATTATTAAGTGCAATTGTGTATCGGGCATTGTGCTCAGAGCTAGACACAAAGACACATATGAAACACATCCTGCTCTCAAGAAAATGACATTCTATTGATGTAAACAATATACAAACAACTAAGTAGAAATAGCATCTGTGGAAGGTAATTTGGGGAGGGAGAATGCCAGGAAGTGGGGTAAGTAGGGAAGGTGCCATTTGAGCTGAGTCTTGGAAAAGACAAGGGATCCTAAGAAATGGGGATAAGGAGGAAGTACATTCTAGGCATAGGTTATAGCCAATATAGGCACAGATATTGGAGACTGATTGTTACGTGTAAGGAACAGCAAGAAAGAATTTGGTAAGGGGCAGCTAGGTGGTGCAGTGGATAGAGCAGCAGCCCTGGAGTCAGGAGAACTTGAGTTCAAATCCAGCTTCAGACACTTACTAACTGTATGACCCTGGGCAAGTCACTTAACCCCAACTGCCTCCAAAAAAGATTAAAAAAAAGTTTAAAAAATTGAGATGTAGCATCTTAGGGGCAGCTAGGTGGTGCAGTGGATAGAGTTCTGGCCTTGGAGTCAGGAGGACCTGAGTTCAAATCTGGCCTCAGACACTTGACACTTACTAGCTGTGTAACTCTGGGCAAGTCACTTAACCCCGATTGCCTCAACAAAAAAAGCAAAAAAAAAAATAGTTTAAAAAAGTTCAAATTAAAAAAAAAAGAATTTGGTAAGAGGAATAGTATATAGTAAAGCTGGAAAGATAGGTTAGGCTGTGAAGGACTTTAAATGCCAGAGAGATGTCATACCAATCAAACTTACCAAAGAATTACTTTATAGAGCTAGAAAAAATAATAATAAAATTCACCTGGAAGAACCAAAGGTCAAAAATATTTAGAAAATCAATGGAAAAAAAATGTGAAAGAAGGCAGCCAAACTGCTTTCCAGTTTTTCCAGCAATTCTTGTCAAATGGTGAGTTCTTGCCCCAAAAGGTTGGGTTTGGGGGTCTAGGAAACACTAGCTTACTATGGTAATTTATTACTCCATGTTGTGTACCTAATCTATTCCACCTAATCTACATCCACCATTGTTTCTTTGTCAGTACGAGGTTGTTCTGATGATTACTGCTTTGTGATATAGTTTGAAATTTGGCACTGCTAGGCTGTCCTCCTTCACGGTTTTTTTTTTCCCAAGGATTCCATGTGGGAAGAATAGAAAAGACAAGAGCAAGCATGACATGTGTTGTGGGTAGAGACTGGCCTTGCTGGGACAGAGACCCTGCGTGGTTAAGTTATGTGGGGAAGCAGTGCTAAGGTGGAGCTGGTTAATGAAGCCGATTGAAAGTAAGCTCAGGAGCTACCACATGATCGACTGAGCAGCAGGTAGCTACTGGGAATTTTTAAGCAGAACAAAATGAGGTGTTAGGGGAAATAATCTAGCATTTGTGTATAGATGGAGTGGAATGGTATTAACCACTTCAGAAGTTGTTCCAGTAAACTAAATGCGAGGGTAAGAAGTAAACACCAAAGATGATTCCAAGAATCCAAGATTTCCAGTCCAGCATGGAGGAGATGGGAAATGGTAGTGTTGCACTGACATAAAAGAGGAGCCCTCTGAGGAAGAAGAGGCAGGTCATGGCTTAAAACAGACATGGTGGTACTGAGACAATAAAAATATTAAATTAATAAAAAGAAAATATATAAAAATTTAAAATCCCAAATGATATTATTCTGTGGGCAGCTGGATATAATCCAGGGAGCTAGGAAAGGACTGGAGCTAAAGACTTGAGTACTCTGGAAGTTATTTAAAATGCAAGAGCATAGGGAGAGGAATAGAAGATTAATGGCTAAATTTCAGGGCATGTTCACATTTAAGAAGGAAGCAATAGAAGACCAGTTAGAGAGGGGAGAAAATGACCAGGAAAGTAGCGTCACAGAGGGCAAATGAGAGAAATTGAGGAAGAGAATCAATTCTCAAAGAGAATGGGAACTGGTCAAATGGCTATTGGATTTTGCCAGGAGTCGGACATACTGGTGACTGTTGAGAGAGCAGCTTAATTGGAGTTTGGCAGTGAAAAGGAGAGAAATGGATAATAAATCATGAAATGTTGGAGCTGGGAGGGATGTTAGAGAAGTCATTTGGTACAACCTGCTCAGTTTACAAATGAGGAAGTAGACAGAGATGTGAAATAACAGCTAAGCCCATAGACATGGAGAAAGTGGCAGAAATCCCAACTAGAAACCAGTTGCTCTGATTCATGTTCCAGTAGGATGAGAGTTGGACTGAGGCAAAAGGTCTTTTTATTTTTATTTTTTCAAGCCAGGAGAGAATGGACTGTTTGAAGGTAGAGGAATCTAGAATAGAAGAAAACACTGAGCATGCTGAAGAGGGGGATGAACACAGAATCGAAACCTCATTATAAGTTGGGAAAGAATGGCGTGTAGGGTACAGGTGAAAGGCAGTGGGGCATTTCTTCCAGACCTTGAAGAATAGAGGGAAAG